TATTGGCACTTCATCCACACATCATACAATTCAATAGTTCAATTACATCAAGAAGAGTTGTACAATCAGAACCACAATCAATTTTAGAGCATTTTCGTCTTCCTTGTACTTGTTGCCATTAATGTAATGATTATTTTTAATTGTGGCAAACACATATACAACAAAATATTGTCCAATTCAACAACTTCCAGATGTATATCAGTGCCATTGATTACAGTCTTGGTGTTATGCAACCATTATTGATATTCTTTTCCAAATTATTCCACCACCATTAACATAAACTCAACTCAATGCTTCCTAAGCAAAAACTCTTTCTCTTTCACCCATGGTAACCATAGGTGAAGTTAGTTTTCATGATATAATATTCACATATCATATACTCCCATAATTAAATGACTTTTTAAAATAGTTGTATATATATCATCACATTTAGTTTTAATGCTTTCTGCCTTGCTCCAGAATTCATTGTTTGCTCCCTAATTCCCCTCAACCTCCCCACCGTTCCTAATAAACTGTTGCATCAGTTATTCTATGCATTCACTCCTTATGTGTTTCATAAACTGGGAAACCAACAGAATCAATAAAAAAAAACATAAAGAAAATAATAATATTAATTAAAAGATAAAAATAAAGAATATGAAAGAAAAGATCACCAACAATATTTTAAAAGCCAGAGAAGAAATTTCTGTTGTGGGACAAGTGAGAAATATTTGAGCTGGAACAAATTCAGGTTGGGTCAACAGGTAGGTCAACTGCCACACGGCCGGCCCCACCATGAGACATGACATCTCTGACTGACCCATAGCACTACGGGGACAACACTGGAGACACAGTGCGGGAATTGTACCTGATCTGACTCCACCTCAACAGGGCAAAACAATGAGGGTGTGCAACAGAGCAGCAAGGGGCGCAAAGCAATGCAGTCCCTGGGGAATGCCAAAAATAGACTTTGGGGCCAGAGCATGGCACCCCATCAGACGTGACCAGAAAACCCTCATAAAGGTCAACAAACAGACCTGGAACTATTTACAGGCTTTTCTTTTTTGTTGTTGTTTTGTTTTTGTGCTTACTATTGTCTCTGCATGTCTAGATAAGATAGGTGGGAAAAACAATCCGGAAAAGAAAACAACGGGACCAACAGTTCCAGGGGGACACAGGAGAGAAGGAGGCAGGGGAAAGGAAGGGGGGTGCCACCAAATCCAGGGACAAGGGAACAAGTGATCTAAAATCAATGGTGAAGAAGGCATAGGATGCCTGGTGAGGTTTGATCAAGGGCAATGTAGCCGAGAGGAATTACTGAAACCCGGATGAAGGCCAAACA